TTCAGGTGCAGAAGTTATCTCAAATGGTAGGCGGTTGAAGTGGGAATGGCCAAATGAAGGAGTGATGAAGGTTGTTAGCTTGGTGGACTCCTCTGCCAGTGGGATCTGCCTGAAGCCATACTGCGTACTGCATACTGCTTACTGAAGATACAAGCACCAGCTAGTGAGCCTGTTCAACAGAGTATGTACCTTTCTCTAAGTACTGACTCCACCACCACCATGCCCTGAGCGCCAGTCAGTGGCTCTTCCACTCTGCTCATCAACCTTCTCAAATCGCTTTGGGCAGTAATGGAAGAGGAACCTGTCGCAGGGTTTCAGTTCGATGGTGTTTTGCTGCTGCATTAGACCACTGAACAACTTTAGATATCTGTTTTTCATTGTCTCTATATGGATGCACTCGAGCTACCAGCCACATTGTTGGTGTATGGACGAGTGCGAACCTCTGATCCCAGAACTTTAGAGTTTATACTGTTTACTGAAGCCTTTAAACTGAGATGTTGGGCAGTTAAAGTGGTGAGTTCAGGCTGTAATGAGCCCATAGAGCAGACATTTACTGAATGAATGTGAAAGAATATGTTCACTCTGCAGACGTTATTTTATCCTTCTGTCCTGGTTGATCTATTTTTACAAACACCTTTTATCCTCCACATGACTGGTTTGCACTATTTTTACCTGCGAGCTGGAAATAAGAGCGAGTGGAGAGGTTTGGACTGAGACAATCCCACGGGTTGATCTGGACTGTGTGTCCGGCCGGTGGATGATTGACAGACTGAGATGCTGCTGGACACCAAAGTCAACAATCCACCAATTTAAATATTTACTACGTTAGAGTTGAGATCCAGATCGGTGGCGTCAGCAATGTGTTACAGATAACAGACACACACATTTTATCTTTATCATGAAACTGTGAACCAAACACCTCCACTGAGAGCACTGTCCATGTAAAGGTCCAGTATGTAACAGCAGTGGATTCCCTTCGAGGTCCGAGATAGGACGCAGCCCTGACTCTAGGTTATATAATAAAAAGTACCTCACTGATTACTGTACAAAGACCTACTGTAGAGCTAC